GCCTGCCGGTCGCCGTGAGGGCGGCAGTCAGGGTGCCTTCGGCGGCATGCCTGCGGGAGGTCCGCCGGTCTCGCGGTTTGGCAGCAATTTGGCGGCGGGTACGCCGCAGGCGCGGGACCGGCGGACCTCCCGCAGGCATGCCGCCGAAGGCAACCTGATTGTTGTGCTTGGGGCAGCAAAATACATAGAGCCGCCCCTGACGGGGTGGGGGGGGGGTCTCTTCTTAATAGCCCGCTATTACCGTGTTTTAATGTCATTTAGATGGACTGTGAGGATGTAACTTCCTGCTTTTTAGCGAACAGCTGCTGCTCGTCTAATCTGGCTGCAAATGAAGGCTTTAGGCCTTACAAGATGGCTCCAGGAAAAGACCTTAGCCTTACAGTGGGCGGGCACCACACCCAGCCACTGGCACACACGGTGGATGGGTGGCATGTTGGGAGCATGCTGCCCTGCGGCGATTCACTGCTTCCCAGGCCAATGGGACAATGAACATGATTTACAGCAGCCCTGGGGCTGCTCTAAATTACACCTGGGACCGGGCAGCCCCCTGCTCGGCCCCAGAATAGGGAGAATGCAGAGTGGGCACAAAGCCAGCACTTCCTCTGGCACTGTCACAGATCGCAGGCCTGGGGTCACTGGGAATCAGCCTTGGCCCCCTCTCTCTGCTAGGTGTTCGGGAGAGCGCTGCTGTGATGGTCGGTGCTGTAGCCTACGCCCAGGATTCAAGGAGGGGACGACTAACGGGTTCGGGTAAGAGTTAGAGGAGTCCAGGTCTCTCAATCGGCATCAACTCCGGGCCTTCCAGCCCCTGGTACATGGGGCAGGGGAGCAGAGATCTGGCTGACCACATGGATGGCCCGGGGAAGGGCAGGGGTTGCTGGGTCACTTGGGCCCAGCGCTGTGGGAGGGGCCGTATTTCAGGGACTCTGTCCTCCAGAGAGGGGCGGGTTAGGGACCAGACCCAAAGCCCCCGGATGCCAGTGGCCGTCTCACCCCGCAGCCCGTGACCGCACCTGGCCCTGCCCTCTGCAGCCACGTGTCTCTCTCCCCGCAGACTTATCTTCATCATCATGGGCGTGATGATTGGGGGCGGGGTCCTCTTCGTGGTGTACAAGTGCTGCAAGAACTGGGCTGGGCTGGACGAGACGGAGGGCATCGAACCAGCGCAGCCCCACGTCCCACCTGCCCCCAGGACGGCCCCTCCCAGGTCCCCCTCCCTGCAGCCCCAGGGGGATCCCCCGCCCTACAGCGAGGTGGGTTCCGGCTGTCTGCCCGTGGAGCAGTGGGCACAGGCTGTTTGCTACACCCGTTGCCAGCCCTCCACCAGCTGGTGCAGAACTGATTGCCCTAGGGCCCAGCCCTCTGTGCCCCAGCCAGGACTCGCGCGGCTCCCCCTGGCTCTCTACGGCTCGGAGCCCATCAGTGCCCGCTGGCCGGTGGGGGCGTGAGCCCAGGCTAGCATCATGGGAGATGGAGGAGCAGGGCTCGGCTGGCAGTGTTGGCCACTGTCTGGTGCATTGCTGGCTCCCCTGTGCAGCGCTGAGCAAGCCGGCTTGATTGGCTCTGGCCCCGAGTCAGTTTGTTGGCCTTAATAACGTGGCCCATTTCTAGCACCTTCCCTTGCCGGATCCTGCTCTGGCCGGCCCCCTGCTCCGATCCCTGGCCTCAACTCCCCTTCCCGAGCTGGGGATAGAACCCAGGTCTCCCAGTCCACCGCTCCGCTCTACCCACTAGATCATCCTCCCCGGTGACCCCAAACTTCTCTCGGCTGCGGGCTCGTCGGGGCGCCGGGCAGAGCTGTCTGACACTCTTCCGTTCCTAGGTGGCGTTGAAGCCGTTCCTGTACCCGCTCCCTGCCATCCCGCCGCCCTGTTACAGCAACGTCGTCATGGCAGACCCTCCGGCAACTGGCGTTAACCACCAGACCACGCCCTAGGGGGCGCCGCGGAGCTCGCCACCTGCTGGTGTCACCTTGGGGTGGTGGCCATTAACAAAACCACCCCCCCTCCCGCCAATCTCTCTCCAATGACTGCCATGATAAGCCACCCCCTGCCATGGGGGCACCAGCCAGGCAGGGGCAAGGGCACCGTTGCAGGACATTCCCCAGCAGGGCTGGAGACAAGAGACCAGTGCTAAAGCAGGAGCCCCTCCCCATGGACTCCACCCTGTGCCGCTGACCCCAATAGGGTGGGGGTGGGCGTGAGGTTGGGGGCTGCCGGGGCTGGGCTGGGAGGGTCCTTTGATGCAGTGTTGCAGGGGACAGAGCTCAGGCTGGTTGAAATACGGGCTCCAAGAGGATGCTGACGGAGGGGGCGGCTAGGCCTGCTTTGAGTGGCGTTGTGACCCCGCTTGCCGGGGCCCAACACCACTCAATTATGGCCCGGCTGCCACTCGAATATGGCCTGGCCGCCCGTTTGATGCAGGGGCTGTTGGGCCAAATTTGAATGATGTTGGAACCTGGCACGTAGGGTGGCAACGCCGCTCACATCTGACCCCGGGGCCCCTCTGTCACGCTCAGCCCATCGTTTTTGAAGCCAATGTTGGCAACCCTAATTCAACCCCACAGCTTGGCACCATCGATCATGTGTGGTTTCGGGGGGCGGCAGCAGGGCGGGGACTGTGAACTCACAAATTCTTCTGAGCCCTCCGCAGTGGGTCTTTTGCGTCATGAAAGGCCAGTGGCAGCAGAGCTCCGTGGCCAGTGCTGGATGCTTCAGAGGGCTGAATGCCACCCCTGGGGTATTGTATTGTGCATCAGGCGGGGAGATTCCTTCCTGACCCCCAACAGGGACTCAGCCCAGGCCTTGAAGCATGGGGATCACTGGTCCTCATCTTAGCAAGAATCACTGGGGCAGATGCGCTTCACAAGATTATCACCTGGTGATTCACGTGGGGCACCCAAAAATGGCCGTCAGCATCTGCAACTTCAGCCAGGGAGAGGTCGGGGGTGAGGCAGGCGCTTCCCCATGACTGCCTCCTGCGGGGGTCTTGCATCTTCCTCAGATGGTCCTGCCCACCACCCCCCGCCAGAGACAGGGGCCCGGGCTGGCCTTACCTTGGCACTGGCTGAAGCTGCGGATGCTGACGTCCATTTTTGCGTGCCCCGCTTGACTCACCGGGCGATACGCTTGAGAATCAAGCCGTGGGGTTGAACCTCGTTGTCTTTCAAAAATACGGGCTGTGCGTGACAGAGGGGCACCAGGGCCAGGCATGAGCAACGTCACAACCCTGCGTGCCGGGCTGTAACAGCCTTCAAATTGGCTGCATCAAAAGGACAGCTGGGCCCAACTGGAGTGGTGTTGGGACCTGGCCCGTGGGGGTCACAACCCCACTCACATCAGGCCCCTCCCTGTATTTGAAATGGGCTGTTAGCCCCCGGCGGCTGCTCCCGTTGGCTGTTTGCTTGTTCAGTTGCTTGCCCTGTGTAGTCAGCCAACGGGCCAAACCGAGCTTTTATTTATACGTCAAAAACCTGCCTGCGTCTTGTTTGTTGTGTGTGTGCGAGGGCCTGGTCCCACGAGGACCCAGATCAATCCCCGTGAACTGCTGGCGTGCAGTTCCTGCGGTGGAGTCTGCAGGGGGCGCCGGTGAGCTGAGGCTCGGCTCCCCCACTGGAGTAGGGGCTGGCCTGTTAAGGGGCAGTGCAAGCGAGCATTGTTGTTGGGGGGGTGGGTATAACTGGTGTGGGGCTGAACCTTCCCATAGGGGAGCTGGGCGGTGGAGGGGGTGGGGAGTGGAAGGCGGCAGAGGTCGGGGCTGGAGGGCAGGTAAGAGGCTCGGGTAGGGGGAGATGAAGCTGGAGAAGAGAGCTCCAGCAGGGTGGGGTCAGTGGGGCAGGGCGGGGGCACAGGGAGGGGACAGGCGCCCACTGCGCCAATGGGAGACAAGGTGCCCAGGGGGTGCTGCCGTCCTTTGGCCCCAGCATTTGCCCCGCCCCGGGCCGGTCCAGAGAGCAGCGCCCGGCTCCTCACGGGAGGGCAATAAAAGCAGCGCCCGGCCCAGGCAATCACGTGGCGAGTTGCTACACTCTGGACTTTGCTAAGTTCCACGGGCCGAGCCCCTGAGCACCCGCTGGCCCTGCGAGGTGGGGGAGGGGGTGAGTCCCAGCTTGGTACGTGGGGCAGGGACAATGTAGAGGTGGCTTTAAATCTCCTTTGCCAGCGCCACACTGTGGGGCCCAGCTCAGCCCCCGGCAGCAAGGCCGCAGCGGGCAGACCCTGGCCAGACGTGGCGCTCCCCTGCCAGGGCCGGGCCAGATGCTCCCCTCAGCCCCCTGGAAGCTGGTGCTGCAGGCCAGGTCAGCGTCGGCGCGGACACCTCTCTAGCGTCCCACCTGCCCGCCAAGCACCGGCCCGTGGGATGCTCTGGTTCCAGGGACCTCGTCAGTGCAACCTAGTCTCCCTCGGGGCCAGACTCAGAGCTCTTCAGAGCATTCACCCTGGCGGCGTTTCAAGTGTGGGCTCGTCCGGGATTTCAACTGGGAAGTCTCTGAAAGTCGGGACGGGCTTCCTCAGCTAGGGGAATTATGTAACTCACACACACCCTGGGTGTGGTGTTGTGGCACTGAAACCACATAGAGAGATTCATGAGTTTGCCTACCAGCCAGGTGGCTTTTAGCTCATGCACTACGCTCCAGAGGTCCCTGGTTCGATCCCACCTGCGGACGGACGGGGTCTGTCGGCGTTACACGTGCGTCTAGCTTTTTCTCATGTGAGCTCAGCTCCCCCTGGGATCCCCAAAGTGCCAGCTGAGCCCGCGTCCTTGCTGAGCAGAACATTTTGTGCCGTACTGCCGAGAAACATGGCGCGTCGGGACATAAGCCAACAGCCAGCAGGGCGGAAAGGGAGATCCAGGACCAGACAGTGCCAGGCTACACCCCACAGAGAGGGTGGGGAGTAACCCAGCTGGGACCAGCAGCAGACAACTGGCATGAGCTGTGGCAAGGGCGCTGGTCTCTCTTCCACTTGTACCCACCCAAGGGTGCTGGCACCACCCTCAGCTTTGCCCCCTTTGTTTTTCAGCAGCCCCGAGCTCAGACCTAGCGTGGGTTCCATGCTGGGCAGCTGATGCTCGGTTAGCCATAGACGGGATGGTGAGTCCGAGCTGCAGGTTCCAGGTTGGGCAGCTGGGCTGGCACCAATCTGCCCTACTGTTACTGCAGCCGCAGGACTGGACATGCACACAGGCATCGCCGCCTCCGATTCGGGCATCAAACCAAGCGTTGCAACCTCCGGACCAAGCGCCCGGCCCGGACGCAGCGTTGCAGCCTGAGCTGGGTACCCCCGCCCTCCGGCCCCTGCCACGGGCTGGAATATTGGGGGGGCAGGTGGGAGGAAGGCACCACCCCATAGTCCATCCTTGCTGTGCCGCCCTGGCTCAGGGACGCCATTCCCAGCTGGGGGCCGTGCGACCGAATGCACCCCGTATTCACACCCTACCCACCATTGTCATAATCATTGTACACAATAGGCCTTGTGCGGTATCCTCTGAACGCTAACAACTCGCTGGTCAGTAACGTCCTGGTGAAAGGGGCGGAGCGACTATCGGTACAGTGATGAACGTCAGCTGAAATCAGGATGGAGGCGTGTTGACCAGCCAGGGCTGGGGACGGGGTAAACCAGTTTCTCCAAGCCACAGGACCCGCTGACGCCAGATGTCCTCAAAGCTAATGGGGGCGTGTAGGCAGCAGGTGGCCATTCTTTGGCAAGGAAAGGGGGGCAGCCTGGACCCTCTACCCCCAACAGCTTTTGGTGTCCGTGCTCCGAGAATGACCTTTATCTAGGGGTGACCCTCAGGAAAATGCATTTCAAAGGGTGGCTGAACTATAAAAATGAGGGGCAAAAACACCCCAAGGGATCGCTCCCCAGCCAGCCATGTCCTGCGCTCTTGCACCGAAGACAACCTTTGGGAGCAGATCCTGGCCTGAGAACGTGGTCAGCAGCGTTACAGGGAACCTGGGGTGCGAATTTCCCCTTGAACCCAGCCCAGTTTCAGTCTAGAAAGCGTTTTACCTTTCTTTCTCCTGTAACCATTTCTGGCTTTAATGCCTTCTACTCGTACTCACTTCAAACCTCGCTCTGGTCGTTCAATACACTTATTGGATTCTTTAATCCAAACGAATCCAGGGTTGTGAACTGTTTGAAGGTGGCAAACGGTTGTATACTGAGCCACTCAGAGGGGCAACAGACCAGATCTATCTGGACTGTGCAGGCGAGGGCTGGACAGTGCAGAACGCACGTTTTGGGGGGGAATCGGGGACCGGGAATGTGCTGAGGCCACCCGGCGCGTGGTAACCCAGGCTGGTGTAGCCAGAGTGTGACTGGCGAGGGCTGGCCTCAGAGCTGCTGGACCAGGGCTGTGGCTTTACTCAGACACTCAGGGTGGTGATTGCAATGCACCCAAGGCAGCAGGGCAGGGGTGGCACAGCCCCTCACCGGTCTGGGCTGTCATAGGCCGAAAGCCAGGCTGGGTTTTGTCTCCTCACTCCAGGGCAATGGCCCAGCAGTTGGAGACACAGATGTTCAGGCCTGGGCTGCCACCCGAGCTCTGGGCCCCTCCCACCGCACAAGGTCCTAGGACCCAGGCCCCAGGCCGTGCCCAAATGTCCACCCCGCAATGAAGCAGCCCCTTAGCCCAAGCCCCGTGAGACTGAATCAGCTGGCATGGGCCAGCCGCCGGGGTCTAACTGCCATGTAGACGGATCCACAGAGCCAGCGGCCGGGGGGGAATCCCAGACTGGGGATGGAGAAGCGGGTTTGGGGGTGAGAACGTGTGTGTAGATGAGGCTCTGATCTTCCTTCTCCGGCACGTTCCCGGCCTCAGGGAAAGCGCTGGGGCACGGCGAGGCTGAGCACCAAAGGCCGGAGGTGGGGCAGCTAGTCCATGGGTCATGTGAGCAGGGATGGGGTCTACTCCCCGGGGCCCCTAGGCTGCTTT